AAAAAAAAAAAAAAAAAAAAAAAGCTGAATGGCCAATGGTAAGGCAGGAGAAAGGATAAGCAGGGCTGGCAGGCAGAGAGAATAAATAGGAGGAGAAGAAACCTGGGAGAAGGAGATCGAGGAGCATGAAAAGGAGAGAGGACATCAGGGGCAAGGCATCCAGCTACACAGCAAACCATGGAGTAAGAAGTAAAGAAAGGAATATAGAATAGAGAAAGATTATAACCCAGAGGCAAAAGGTAGTCGGGATAATTTAAGAAAAGCTGGCTAGAAACAAGCCAAGGCTGGGCATTCATAAGAAAGAATAAGTTTCCGTGTATTTATTTGGGAGCTGGGTGGCCGGCCCCCTCAAAGAGCAAAGAGTAAAGAGATAAAACAACAGAGTCTTAGGCAAATGTTTCTCACTACTTGCAGTAATGTAAACAAACCAAGAAACTATGTCTATGCAAATAAGATATGCACATTAATGATGTCTATTGTTGATTGGGGGGACATAGGTGATTTTCCCAACTCCTTTTTGTTGGTGTATAGCTTCTAAAATGTCTAGTGAACCCCTTTATATTGTAAAACTCAAACCTTCAGTTTTAAAATTTATGACAAAAAAAATGGGTATGTGTACATGTGTGCATTCATGCATTCATGTGTGTGTGTGTGTGTGTGTGTGTGTGTGTGTGTGTACACGTGTGTGCAGCAAAGGAAGATGTTGGGTGCCCCCTGTCACTTACCCTCTGCCTTACTCTTTTGAGACAGGTTCTCTCCCTGAAGCTCGAGCTCTGTCTTCAACCCAGCCCTACCCAACTCTCCTCCAGCAGCGGGGCCACACCGGGCTTTCTGACGTGGGTGCAGGGACTCTGAACTCAGGCCTTCACGCTCGTGCAGCAAGTGTGCACTTGCACTACTCACTGGGTCGTCTCCCTGACTGTTTTTCCATTGTTTGTGGTGATAGCTTGCTTGGGTTTTCCTTTCTGGCAGTACTGGGGATCGAACCTAGGGCCTCCTGTGTGCTACACCACTAAACCTAAACCAGGTACCCTCAAACCCTTTCCCGAGGAAAGAGAAGAAGCTAACGGTGCTTTGTGCAGGTTGGAAAGGGATGATCCCATTCACCAGCTAAATATTCCAACAAAACAAACTGACGGGGCATGCAGGCTTTCTTCCTGACAGAGCACAGGACTCATCGGGCAAGGGGATGGGTACCAGCTGCTCACCTTTCTTGGAGAAGAGGCTGATCCAGAGGGCTGGTAGATCTGGAATGCTGGGGGGTGGAAACTGGAGTTTTCGGTTGGAAATCGGCATCCCCTTGGTGACAGGGTGAGGGTTTTCTGGACTTCCTTGGATCTAAAGGTGGCGGTGGCTGACTCCTTAAAACAATTCGCTCATCTGGCTCTCTGGTAACCTGAGTGACAACATGAATTATTCTTCACTTGTAGTTTTGGTTTTGATTTGCCTAATATAAAGCTAACGGCAGGCTAGGACAAGGAAGGGAAATTGAGGTAAGATAACAGGGTATGTGGCCAGGAATCTCCCACAAATAAAAGAGTGGGCTGTGGTACAGAAGCCTCAGGAATATGGGCAAGGGGGGACATGTCCAGAAGGCTCTGTGTTTGGCAGCATTAATAACACAGTAAACTCATACTTAGAACTTTGATTTCTAAGGACACTGACTTTTTTTGGTTCTGGGGAAGATCAAATTTTTAAACAAAGTGTGTCTGTCCTGTACATGTGCAATGCAGTATATACTTAATTTCCTTCACATACATCTCTGTTTGTAGCATACAAGTTGGAGCTTTCAGTGGGGCAAACTGGTCACGCTTGATCACCACCTCACTGTATAAAGGTATCTGGTTAGAGACAGGCCACACGAGTGATAAAGTAATAATTTGCCTCCAGAAACCCTTCCTTGGTGACTGGTCACACAAATGACAGAAGAGGAGCAAGGCAATGAACCCCAGAGGGAAGCAGACAGAGGGGCCCAAGCACTGCTCTGCATAAACCCCACGTAAGCTACGCTGCCCTAACATGAGCAGCACAGCCAGGAACATATTCTCCCCACCAGCTGCACAGGGCTCGACAGAGACACTGGAAATGGATCATTTTACAGATGCTACTGCTAAAATTACCTTGATGTCTGGCGCAAGGCTGTCAAGAGAAGATGCTAGAAGAAAGAGAAACAGGCGTGTGAGGAACTCGTTGTTACCAGTTAGCCATGAAACTGCTGATACATTCATCCCATAGAAGAACCAAGGTTTCACACAATAAATAACTAATAAAGGAACTAAAATGCTGCCTTGTAAAAATCCAAGGTCACAACCGAGTCTCCCTTGGGGCACTGCAAGTCTATGGGAACTCTGTCTTCCTGGGGTCCACAGTCGGGTTGTGTTTTCAGTGACAGCGCAGCTGGGAAGGGGGTGAGGGGACAAACATGCCATGGAGCAGAAGTTCAAGACCCTTACAGCCTTAAAGAGAATACATGTTTGCCCAGAAGCCCAGAGCCTCGAAGAGGACAACGTGGATTTAATATAACGTTCCTGTGCTCTGGGCAGGAGCCCTGGCTGGTTTCTGGAGATCTAGTAACATAGGAGCTCTGGAATATACTTGTCTAAGGTAAACATGAATGTGAAATCGAGACAATGACTATATAAGGACACAGAGAAACACAATGCATCCCAACCACAAATCATTGTCATTACCCGGAATGTCTACCAGAGCTAAGCAGATCTCATACTAGTGAGTGGCAAGGATGACTAGAAAGCAGAGTAATAGCCTAACATGTCCAAGGCCCTAATTCCAAAACAAAACAAAATATTGCAGTACTAAAATTTAATTCCAAAAGTAATAAATATACATGGAGAACACTGAAATGCAAGTGGCTTTTTCCCCTCGAGTCTAATGACAAAACATTCTCCGGACTCCTCATCCGCTTACACCACCAGATGCAATAAGGAAGAAAGGAGATTTTTAAAGCCTGACACCTTCCCTATCTGGGCACACTTATCTGTGTGTGCACAGTCCTGGGAAACCCACCACCACCACCACCACCCTAAGCTGGACAAGGAACCATCAATGTCAGCTCCAGCTACAAAACCCTCCGGAGGCCTAGGAACTCCTTGGGCACTCGCCTGTAGTGAGGTTGGAACTGCATGGACATCTGTTCTGCTTTTGAGCCCTTGTTTCTCAAGGGGCAATCCATGGCCCAGCAGCACGAGGACCACATGGAAGCTTGTGAGAAAAGGACCCAGGCCCCACCCCAGGGCTTTCTCAAGACGTGTAGCGCAAGGAGGGTCCCAGCTGGCTCAGAGGCGCACGGAGTCTTGAGGCATGGTTTTATTCTCCCATAGATCTGGAGGTGGCCTAAGCATGGGGATGGCCCCAAAGAACCAGGGATTACAGCTTGGTGTACGACTTGTATTCACACCATAACCTCGGGGAAATTTCTTCCTCACTCGCCAGGATCAAGAAATGGCGAAGACACAAGCGTGGTGTGTGAGCGCCATCAGAGCCAAGCCAGCCTCAAGCTCCACTGCCTTCCCAGGAAAGGACATTTGCTGTTGCTTGCTTGCACTTGACAGGGGAGATAACGCTGCTTTTATGTGCCGCGCCAGTGATGTTTCAATTGCAGTGCTTAAATGAAATGTCAGAGGTGATGAAGTACTTTCTCCTCCCAACCCCGCACTCTGTCCGGGGCAGCTATCATCAGTCACTCCGGCTGGCCTGAGTTATCACGAAACAGTCTGCAGCCCTTGAAAAGTACAAACCATTAAGCCGAACACAGAGAACTCCACTGTTTGGACATCACAAGTCTAGTCCCACCGTGAGGTAACAGAAGGGACCATCACCAGCCCTGTCTAGACTTAGAACTCCAGGCAAGCTGCCATGACCTTTACTAGGGACGGTCTCACACATTTCAGTCCTGAGGCAAAACCCTCCCAGTTTGCCCTAACACCAACACTGTCAATTAGTAACATACAGTCCAGGAACCTCAAAGGGGGTAAGGGGTCCCTTCGGAACCTTTCATGAAACATCCAAATTAAAGCCTGCATTCATAATTACACGATTTATTCCTCTCATTCTCATTCTCCCACATGGTAACAAAAGTCACCACAGCACATCATAACGTTATTATTCTGACTTTTCCAATGGTATATTACATTTTACAATTACTCGCTTTCAATTTCTAGCATGCTAAATGAGGCTAGCCATCAACCATGTCAATCAAAGCCCTTTAAAGTCCTCAATATCATTTGCAAATGGAGCCTGAAATCGATAGCCCCGAAGAAGATGGCTGCATTAGCCTAACTGCTTCAGAGAGCTGGCTCCCTTCTCACAACATGGAATCTGGTCAGCCAGGGTCAGGACACTTTCAGTCTCTTGCTCCTTTGCCCCAAAAAGATGGCACAACAAACAACGCATTTGCTAACTGTCAGCAATGCCTTTGCAAGGAGTTCACACCAGGAGAAGCTTCTGTCTGCTTTGCCAGCCTAGCCACGGGCTGAAGCCACATGTGGCCAGTCACACCATCCAGCTCAGTCCCCTTCAAGCACTGAGGGGAACTGGAAAATAAACTGCTTCTTAGTTGCCTCTGCCCCATGGGAACGCCTCGGCTGGTGAGGCCTTGAGAATCAGGTCCACAGTTTGCAATGTAACCTGTAGTTCCTCGGGGTCAAGGATGCTAAGTGGGATGCACTCATTAAGGGAACATTAGTAACGAGAAACTCAAGTACCTTTTCTCATCGGAAAAGCAAAGTCCAAAAACTTAGATTTTCTTCGGGACTTCTGTAAACGTGTCAAACTGTTTTCACCAAAGGGGTTTCCACTGTCCACCTGAAAGTGTAAGAAACATGTTAGACTCTACCTACAGTAGCTTGGCTTACCTTCTCATTACCCATAATGCCTCCTCCCCACTCCCTGCCCCCCCCCATTCAGAGAAAAGCTTGGAAAATAACCAAAATCACAGTCTCCAAATATGGTACGTTATACCCCACGAAGAAACCATCCACCATCTCCACTGAGGCTAGATAGGAGGGTGTGTGTTAAATGTGAGCATAGAGAACTGAAGATAGATAAAAAGACGGCACCAAGCTTCTGCCTCCTGAGTGCTGGGACTGAAGGTGTGAGATGCCACGCGTGGCTCAGAATCCTTTAGACTGCACAGAGTATGCCAAGCACAAGAGACTGACCATTCAGATCCCCTTCCAATCTACCATCTAGATTCTTCTAAAACACAACAGAGTCCAGCAGTGGTGGCACACGCCTTTAATCCCAGCAGCACTCCAGAGGCTGGCAGATTGAGGTTCAAGGCCAACCTGGTCTACAGAACAAGATAGCCAGGGCTACACAGAGTCGTCTCAAAAACCAAAAACCAAAGACACAAAAGCCCACGATAGCAGGAACCACTCTCTTCCTTAAAATGACAGACCATGCTTCCTAAGACAAATGCCTCAACATGATCTGCAGAAGCAGGTCAAAAGGCTTGAAAAAGAGATGCTTCTGCAGCATAAATTTTAAAATAGACTTTGGAATTTTTATTTATTTATTTTTTCAGTAAAGCAGGCTACAATGCTAGTTGGATGTCAAGAAATAGACTGATTGTGTTTCCTAATTTAAAACTTTTTAATGTGTCTGAGTGTTTTGTTTGCATGTATGTCCATGTACTACATGTGTGCTGGTGCCCACAGAGGCCAGAAGAGGGCATCAGATCCCCTGGAACTGGAGTTACAAACAGGAATTGCCGTGTGGGGGCTGGGAATTGAACCTGGGTCCTCTGGAAGAACAGCCAATGCTCTGAGCTGCTGAGCCACCTCTCCAGACACAAGTTCTCTAAATGTTAATGCTTCCATCCAGGATGTCTCACATATGATCAGAAAGTCTGCCTAATCAAGTATGTAAGACAACATATAAAAGAGCTTAGCATAGATTTAAAAACTGTAATAATGTGTTAAACAATAGAAATGGACATTTTCACTCCCTAAGAAAGCTAGCCACTTTTTAAAAAGATTAATTATTCCACAGTGACAGGGACTGCATTTTATAAGCATGTGTATGGAACAGAATAAGTCACACTGTCCAAAAGATACAAGCTATCAACACTTCTACAGAAGCACATTCAATGGCAGCTTGCTACATTTTTGCCAGGTATCTTTACCAAGACCAACAAAAAGAAAACAGCCATTTAGCATTTCTGTGTCTATGAATAGCTCTTATTTGTAGATTAGCTAGTCAGTCTTTCCTAGCCAGAAAGTTCAATTCTACCTACAAACAAACTACACACAACCATCTCAACAGCAACTTGACTGAGATTTACACCACCTCACACCTCACATCAAATGCACGATCATAATTTCTCATGACCTTAAGTGAAAATATCAACAATTTATCCATCACTAACATTCTGAAGAAAGTCACTAGCTGGAATGTGTGGTAGAGCTCACAAAAAGTATGAAATAACAGAAAATGTTAATTTGAATGTGTGTGTGTGTATATGTATGTATATATATATATATATAATTACAACTTCATGGAAAACATAAAGACTATGAATACAAAAACTGAAGAAATTAATCAAATTAGTGATTTGTGGCTGGTGTGTGTGTGTGTGTGTGTGTGTGTGTGTGTGTGTGTAACTCAGTAGCTCAGATTTTCCTGGAACATGCTATGTAGCCCAGGCTAGCCTCAAACTCATGGTAATCCTCCTGCTGTAGCCTCCCAAGTGCTGGGATTGCAAGGGCACATCACCACACCTGACTTCAGATATTCTTTTTATGGCACTGATGAGCCGATGTGTAAACTTATCTTGAACATCTCGATCTTATAATACAGTAATTAAAAACAAATTTTCAAGGCAGCTGTGAGGACTACAGTGACTAACCGTGCCCATTGCTTCTGGTGACTGAGATTCAGATGGCTCTTTGAGTGAGGCCCATCACTGCTTTTTCCCCACTGGCATCCTGTCCCCCGCTCAGCATTTGGCTACTGAGCACCAATCTCACTGAGAAAGTGAAAACTGTTTCTATAAAGGGATGGAGCTCCAACTTTGAATTGATGCACCTTATCAGCCGGCCTTTGACTGACATCTTCAATTCCTGGCAGTTCACAGACCCTCTGAATAATGGTGAGTTCTCATCTACAGACGTCACACTCTATTAATAATGTTCAAAAATTAAAAATGGGGTGATTGACATCTACCGAGTAAATTCCCTCTGAGATGCCTTTATAGACATTTCCTAACAATGACAGTGGAAAATGAACATCATTTAATGACAGTTATTGCTCATGTGGATTCCCTCTCTAGTTACTATTGCCCACTTGTTTGCACGGCTCAATACTTCTTTTCCCACTCGCGTCTGCATGCCCACCGCAGCAAGTTACTCTGAAAAAATCACTTGAAGCTCACATGTCTGACCACAAACGGAGGCTTTCTTTCTCCAGGGAGCCTGAAGCTTTTTCCAAAGTGCAGCTGAGTCGGCTGGTGCAGGTAGAGACGTCTGGGGGAAGATGGGGAGGTTACCCGGGACTGTGTGCCTTTGGAAAATCGGTCAGGACTTTTCTCCTTGGGCTTTGTTTTTCTGTTATTTGTGGGAGCTCTTTGCCCACGTGATTTCGATAAAAGCCTTTGTAATTTACACTTCTCTTCCTGAAAGTGGAAAACAAACAAACAGAAATTTGTTGCTTCATTTTGTTAGGCCTTGAACATGCTTGGAAGGCACTCTGCCTGTGAGCTACACCTCCAGCCAAAAATATTCTTTTGATTGGAAAAAAAAAAGATGATAATTCAGTCAAGAACATAATATAATTAATTGAACATTTAAAAACTAAAATAGAAGACTGCCTCGGATTTATAGAACAAACCTTTATAGAAAGGCATTTATTTACTTAATCTACCATTTAGTTGAACATGATTAGTATGTATAACTTACTAAAATCACAAATTTTAAGTAATAACAGTGAGGTTTATTTGTATTAGGGCAAAGTTTGAGAACAGCAGATAGACACAGGCATACTCCAAGCACAGGCAGATTATTGACACAGAGAAGCATGAATGGTATATATAGGTGGTTCCAACCATTTCACTTCAAAGAGTTTATGAAAAGTAATCAAGTATTGCTATGTGTGCAGCAATGGCAGCATTTCTAAAAGTTTCGGGGGGGGGTTGTTTTTTAGAGTCGGGGTTTGACCAGGTAGCCTAGGCTGCCATTCCAAAGCAGCAAGCTCCCACCTCAGCATCCCAAGGGCTACAATTACAGATATGTGTCACCCCAACCAGCTTAAAATGGCTTTACAAATTAAAAACTAGCTGTCTCAGAGAATAAACAATCACCTTAGCTGAAATCCCATCTCAGCTCTCTGGCACTGTAGCAGGGACTCTGGGAGGCTCCTGTCTGTTCCTCCAGCTGTTCTGTTTGGTGACGGGTCCGGTGGGGGTGGGGCAGGGCTAATGGTCTCACTTTAGCACCATCACTTAACTAACCGTTCACTTGAACACCACCACTCTAAGTACATGGCAAACATACTCCAGCAGGACAGGCTGAGCAAATGGTCTGAACACAGAAATCAAACCCAGCAAAAACTGTGCAGGTTACTGTCTGTTCAGTTTCCTTTAAAGTCGGCAAGCGGAGTTCAGGCTAGCAGTCTTTAAACTGGAGTAGGGGGATATTGTCATTTCTGTCGTTGCCCTCTTAATGATACTTACGAAAAATCTGTTTTTATGCGGGAACACACATTCTCGGATGGCTGTCCTTGTAGAAAACTCTAGTTTGGGAGCAATGCCCTAAAAAATAAGGCAGCATAAAGAAAAGCAAATAAAATGACTGGAAACAATCCTTTGCCCATCTCCTCTTCACCAGAAATCCACTAAGAACCCAAATGTCCTTCTGTAGTCAGCAAAATCAGAATACATTTTTAAAAATACACAAAAGAAGAAGAGCTGAACACGTATATGATGTGCATGCTATACTAAGCCATGGCCTAGTCAACTTGGACTATACACTCATACTCCTAACACAACCCTGTGAAGCAGGTCCTAATGAAATTGTCATTTGGACATGTATGAGCTCAGACACTTTCAGTAGCCTGTCAGGCTGGCAGCCGCAGAGCTGGTAATTGGACCTAGGCATCTGGGTTCCAGTGTGCGCGCTGTTAGCCACTCTATCTGAAACACAGGAACATGAAAATGAGGTTAGTGAAGAGGAGGGACAGGAAGAGGGTCTCCTTCCCGACCTACTTGCCTTGGGAAACTTGGCTTTCATCTATCAAACACGTACATTCATCAGGCCTATTCTCAAACTGTTCTAGTAACTACTGTTTGAGTGTGATGTTTTATCATCTAAATGACTGTTGAGGTATAAAATGAAGTAAAAACACAATGTATGCGAATACAAAAGAAAATCCCACCATAGTGGAGAAAAATCAATCTAATTGTTAATGAACTGATAAGACGCAGTAAGCAGGTGAATGGTTTGCCTGACCTATACAGGCCATTCATTCTCATTTTCTACGGTAGTAATAAAAACCAAGAAGAGTGAACTGAAATAAATCCAAGAGAATTAGCATCATGTTTGTGGCTAAGAGTATAAACTCTGAAGCACAGGAATTCCTGTTCTCTGAGCCTAAACACATTTCTGATTCACAACCTGTCCCCCTCCAGATGATGGGGAGGAACAGCAGTCCCTCCCCAGGACGGACAGAACAAGACAATCCATGCTGTGAGCTCTACACACACCACAGGCATCAGCTGCTCCTGGAGCTCTCTCGAGTGGGTCGATTCTGATTTGTGAAATATTTCAGAGGAATTGAACCACTCTATCTTTTTGTCTATTCATCAAATTGTTCGTAGAATCTGATAAACTCAGTTACAAAAATTGATACTGATGTGTGAAGGTATTTCAATGCATTTTAAAGCTTTTTCCTAATAATCATCTCCATTTATAAATCAATACAAATGCACCTTCATACAGGTTAGTCTTTCTATACATGCCCAGAACATTCAACATGTGAGTGACACTTGAGGAAAAATAAGTGTTTGTCCTTATTTTGATTTTGAAGATGACTCTTATTCAACTGGGAATTTGAGGAAAACAAAGTGAATATGAGAGTTTCCTCAAGCTGGTTCCCATGAACTTTTCTTCCCTTTTAGATTCTGAAGGGCAACATGCCAATAACTTGAACTAATAAAGGTGAGCACCTCACAGGTACCATGGACTTAAATGATACACGAAGGTGATGTTGTCAAAAGAAAAAAGTGGTTTTAGGAATATTTGCCAGACCCTGAAAGATAACAAGGAGGAGGGCTTAAAGTTAAAGATATTCGGAATTCTGAGTAAGACAACTTTTGATGAATGTTTGTGTTTGGCAAATCAGTCATCAGAAGCATTGAAGGAACAATTACATCCTCGGAAGAGAACTCTCAGCAGGGTGGGGACAGTAACACGTCACTAAATGATTAACAGCAATTCACAGGGCAGAGACAGAAAGCTTAAGTATTAATTATGCTTTTTATAATTCACAGACGTGTGGTCCTTAAAGAGAAGGTTATCCAAAAGACATAAAAATCCACTAAAAACAGTGCTTGTTTCAAAGACAGAAATCACAGACCATAATATCAGAATGGATGTCTTGAATCTGGGTTCATATAAATGCCTCCAAACAGGTTATCAGTTACGTATCTGCTGCACCATGCATGGGTCCTCAGTAACGTCGGCCTCTATCGGTTCCCCTCTGCTAAAGAGGACCTGCTCAATATCAGCCGTGGCTAATTTGTAAATTGCTAGGAAGGGAATAACTAAAAATGTGGAAGGTTGAAAGTATGAAACAAATGTGAGATAATATTATTGCTGTCATTACTCTATTTAGTGAAAACAGCTGTGACCAAACAGATCTTTCTGTTATTCTGCAAGAAGAAGTCGAAAGAGGAACCTTTTAGGACATCATGTGACAGCTTAATATGGCAACGATACAGCTTAGTTAGATAATGAAACTTTCAGCTCGTAGATCAATAGTGGAAATGAATATAATTTGGCATCATGAGCTGGGCTTGACCCTGGATGAAAACAGAACTGAGGTAACTAAGCAAGACAAAGCTACCTGCCCAAGATCAACCCTGTCAGGAATAAAATGCTCATGCCCGCAAGAATTTCTATCCCTGGAGAAGCCCAAGCGGGGGAGGTCACTCACTGGAAAACCTATTGGTGTCTTCATGAGCACCTCTCTATGCATGCCAAGGTGTGAAGATGTCAGCTTGGGCTCGGGGAACAGAAAGTCGCGTGTGTTTTCTTCGTAGTAGGCCAGCTCTTCCCATACTAGAAGGAAAGGAGAAAAGGCATAAGCAGATGTGTTCTACACTCCTCAAGTTTAACAAAGGAGATGCTCAGATGGCGTGCTGGTTAGCTTTATGTCCACTTGACACAATTTATAGTCATCTGAGAGGAGGGAGCATCAACTGAGAAAATGCCTCCTAGAGATTGTGCTATAGGCAAGCCTGTGGAGCATTTTAAATTAGTGATGGATGTGGGAAGGCCTACCCTATTGTAGGAGGTACCACTCCTGGGCTGGTGGTCCTGGGTGCTGTGAGAAAGCAGGCTGAGAAAGCCAACAAGCATCACTCCTCCATGGCCTCTGTATCAGCTTCTGCCTCCACGTTCCTGTCCTGTCCTGTGCCTTCAGGTACTTCTCTTTATGATGAATAATGATGTGGAAATGTAAGCCAAATAAACCCTTTCTTCTGCAAGTTGCTTTGGTCCTGGTGTTTCATCACAGCCACAGTAACCCTAACTAAGACTGATGGTATCAGGCAGGGCACTTAAGTCAAACTAGATGTTTTGAACCTAGTATCTGTTACCCAAAAATAAATTCTATTACTTTTTATCTTGTGAATAGTTTGCCTCATGCATAGTCTTCTTGAAAAAAAAAAAGGAAGGTTACTACACAAAATTGAACAAAATAAAGTGAATCTATCCATCTGTCCATCCATCCATCCATCCATCCATCCATCCATCCATCCATCCACCTATCCATCCTTCCCTTCACCAATATTTACTGAAGACAAATTTTGAGCTAGACCTTGAAGGCAGACATGAATGAGGTAGACACAATCCCGCTCACACAAAACTTTAAGTGGACTCTGTATGTTTGGGTACAGGGTTGCCAATGGCCCAGAGAGCAACCCGGCTTGAGGTCCTTGACAAGAATAATATCAACCCAGGGATGCTTAAGAATTGTGTCAAGATTATTTATGAGAAGGAGCCAGCAATGTTACAGTATCCTGTGGAGCTCAAGACATCTCCACATATTTTCTCTAGCATGCATGACTTTCTAATGTCCTATTAGACATTTCTTTATGCTAAAAATAATTTAATAATTATCTGAGCCTGGAACCTAAAACTATGTTACAAAGAACTTTTTGTAAGATTTTACAATACATTGACTTTTCTAGAAGTATGGGTATTGCATAAATAAAAGAACAATTTTGCTTTTTTGTTGTTGGGATTTTTACTGAGAACTATTTGGCATTTTGAAAACTGTATCACATCTAAATACATTATTATTCCCAGCATTTACATTCTAAAATGCATCCTGTTTCATTATAAGCCACTTTCCTTTTTTCTCCCTCACACTGAAGCTGGAATATTATACCGATTTCTGCAGTGACCTGTCCAGGTTGCTTATGTTAACTATAAATCGTATTTTGTTGTTGTGGTAGTTTGAAGTATTTGGCCTCCATAATCTCAGAGGGAGTGGCACTATTAGGAAGTGTGGCTTTGTTGGAGTGGGTATGGCCTTGTTGGAGGAAGTGTGTCACTATGAAGGTGGGCTTGGGTTTCTTATACTCAGGATACCGCTCAGTGAGTCAGTTGATTTCCTGTTGCCTGCAAGATGTAGCAGTCTCAGCTCCAGCACCACCTCTGCCTGCACACCACCATGCTCCCTGCCATGACGATAATGGACTGAACCTCTGAAACTGTAAATGAGCCCTCTCAATTAAATGTTCTCTTTATAAGAGTTGTCATGGTCATGGTGTCTGCTCACAGCAACAGTAAACCCTAACTAAGACAATTGTGATAAAGTGTATATTAAAGAGAATGCTCGTTACCAAAAATGATCTGGGGTGTTACAGTCATCCATTGAGCTGATGGACAGGAAAGCTGCCATCCAAGCCAGCCTTGTAAGCACAACAGGCGCGCCATCATCAGTTCGAACTGAGAGTGGCCCCTACCCAGAACACGAGCAGAAGTCACTACAGCTAATAAAATAGACAGCTTTTCTGCTTGGTGGCTGTTTGGTTTCTTGGGAGGAGAATTTTGATGAGGGTAAATTTTAGGTTTTGTAGCTATAGAAGACAATAAATGACCTTCTATCAAATGATAGGGTGGATTAGTTTCTTCATCATACTTATTGCATTCAATATGGAAGTAAGGATCAACATACAGAGTACGGTATTCTCTATTTTGGGTCTATGTCATTTCTCTCCACTCCTGCCTTAGCAGACAAGCTTCCACCACAGTGGACCGGCTGAGGCATCTCCCCTCTCTACAAAACACTTCTACAGCTTGAGCTGTGCTCCTCACATGGTTAGATCCTGTTCTTTCAAGGTTCACTATGAAGTCAACTTAAAATCTTCCATTAGCTTTGCATACCAGAATAAAACCCATGTACCACCCAGCGGGGTGGGGCACAGCTTTAATCCCAGCACTCCTGAGGCAGAGACAGGTAGATCTCTGTGAGTTCAAGACAGCGTGATCTACAGAGCAAATTCCAGGACTACCAGGGTTACACCAAGGCCTGCTCTCAAAACAAAACAAAACACTAGTAAGATACAATCTGTTACCTTAATTGGTTTTCAAGGTTTTATGTAAATCAGGCCTCTAATCACTGCTGCTACTTCATTAATGACATTTTAGTAATGTCTGTTTGTCCCTGGAGCCATTCTTGCCATACCATAGACACATCAAAGTCACCTCTAGAGCTGTTTGGGTTTCTTCCTCTGTTTAGTTGGTTGCTTTTCTTGAGACAGGACCTTATGTAGTCTAGACAGGCCTTGAATTGGCTATACAACCAAAGATAGCCTTGAACTCCTCTACCTCCCAAGTGTTAGGATTACAGGTATGCATCCCACACCCATCTCTCTGTTCTCTGCATTCCCCTTAACAGTCCTTCCCCAAGTCCTTGAATGGCTGGCTCCCTCTTATCAAATGATAGCTTTGATTTAAATGTCCTAGATACTGCTCCCAAACCTGTGGAAGAATGCCTGGTACGTAATGGAGATGCTGGAAACAATTCTGATCTGTACTCATGAAAAAATATAAATTAAAATGAGATAACTTAAGTTCCTACTTCTATCAGTCACTCAACAAAACAATTACCCTTTTTGAAATTCAGTTTCCACAACTGTTAAAACAAGTTACAAAGACCAAATGTTCTCTAAAATTTTTTTAATTCTTGCTCTCCATTCATTCTTCAATGACTTCTTTACATTCACACATTCAAAAAACAGTCATTGAGAACTTACTGCAGGCCAAGAGTGCTAGATTGGCCTGTGGGTAAGCCTGTGTGCATTTTCTTGATTGATGATTGAAGTGAGCGGGCCCAGGTCACTGTAGACAGTGTCCTGGGCTGATGGTGCTGGGTGCTATAAGAAAGCAAGTTGAGTAAGCCATGAGGAATAAGCCAGTAAATAGGACTCTTTCATGGCCTCTGTATCAGTTCCTGCTTCCAGGTTCCTGCCTTGAGTTCCTATCCTGACTTCTTTGCATGATGGACAGTTACCTGGAAGTATAAAATAAAATAAACCATTTCCTCCCAAAATCGCTTTTGGCATGGTATTGTCATAGCAACAGAAACCCGAACTAAGACATAGCCCCTTGGTCTACTGTGTAAAAACTGGCCAAAAAGAGTGTAAGTCATCATCTACCATCATCACCGTTGCACCATGCAACCGTTCTAACAACGGCCCCACACTTTCTAGTCTGTATTAACATCGTTGCATTCCTACATAAACATACATCCAAGACACATGCATATCACACTGCACACTAGGCTTTTCTTTTGTTCCCTTTCCTTTCATAGGTTTTTGGATCATTCTTGTCACTACATCCAAAAATTGTAGCTATTAAATTATCATTCATATATTTGCCAAGAATTTAAATAAATAAAAACAAGAAGCCAGAGAAGTATAGACAAACTAATTCACTGTCTCTGGAATACCAAGAACAGATTTATGATGGTTAGCACTATTTACCAATTTGCAGAATCCAGAATTACCTAGAAAATAGGCCTCTGGGCATATATGTGAAGAATTATTTTGATTTCCTTAATTGAGGTGGAAAGATCCATCCACTATGGATGGCTTCATTACCTAGATGGGATGCTGGGCTATATAAGTAAAAAAAAAAAGGGGGGGGACTGAGCAACAGCATGAATAAGTCACCCCATCTTAGTCAAAGTTCCATTGCTGTGAAGAGACACCATGACCACAACAACTCTTATAAAAGAAAGCATTGGGGCTTGCTTACATTTAGAGGCTTAGTCCATTGTAGCGAGAAGCATGGGGTCGTGTAGGCAGACATAGTATTGGAGAGGTAGCTAAGGGATCTACATCTCAGCAGGCAGCAGGAAAAAAGAGAGGCACTAGGCCCAGCTTGAGCATTTGAAACCTCAAAGCTCATCTTCAGTGACACACTTCCTCGACCACACCTACCCCAACAAGGCCACAGCTCCTACTAGTGCCCCCTCCCTATGGGCCCATGGGGGGCATTTTCATACAAATCACCACATACCCTTTGCTTCCTGACTAGCAGATGCAATGTAACCAGCTGCCACAAGCTCCTGCTGCTTTGACTTCCCTGCCATGATAGACTGCACCCCCAAACTATGAGCCTCCAGACAATCCCTTCCTTCCTTCCTTAGGTTGCTTTTGTCAGGATATTTTTATCACAAAAACACAAAAAGGAAGAAAGAACATTGGTACCAGAAGTGGGGTTGTTATATCCTAAACATGATTACGTGGTTCTTGAGTATTTGAAACGAGTTTGCAGGATGAATGTAGAAGGGTTTGGAACTCTGGGCTAGAAAGTCCTCTGATACTATAAACATAGCCCAGTAGACCATTATAAATGTGAAGCTATAAATGTGACGACTAAGTTCCAATGCAAATCCCAAGATACTGGAGAGGCCATGGATGTAGGACACCCACCAAGGGCCACTGTGTGCATGGAGTGGAATCAAACTAACAGAGAAGTTATATGTGCTACAGGCTACATATCTGGAGGGATGGGATTACCCAAGCCCCTTGGAGCACAACGCATTTCATCATGTGCTCAGATGCTGGAACGTGGAGCTGCAGGGTTTGAAGTTTTCCCTGCTGGATTTTGGTCTCACTTTGATCATTTCTTCCCATACTCTGATGCTTCCACTTCTGAAATGGGAATGTTTATTTTGTGTCATTCTATGTTGGAAGTGTACAACCTGTTTTTTATTTTATAGGGACTTATCATTAAGAGATTGCCTTGAGTCTCAGACATAGACTTTGGAATTGTTAAAGACAAAGGGAACTTCTGAAGATAGACTGTGTTGCATTATGAGATGGACTTGAGACTTTGGAGACAAGGGATGGAAGAGTATGATTTCAAAGTGTTACATTGGGGTGGACCTGAGGAGAGTCAGTGGTTAAGATAGCTTCCTACTTTTCCAGAGGACTCCAGTTTAGTTCCCAGCACTCATGTTGGATATCTCACAATTGCCTATAACTCCAGCTCAAGAGGATAAGGCCATCTTCTAGCTGTCACAAGTACTCACATCCATAGCATATATTTACACAGATACAGATATATACATAAATTAAAAGGATAAAAGTTTTTAAAGTGATGTGTTTGGAGGACTGGAGATGTAGCTCAGTGGTTAAGAACACTTAATACTCTCTGCTTCTTGACTATAGAGGCAATGTGTCCAGCTGACCCCATGACTTCCCTTCAGTGATCTATTATAACCTTGAATTGTAAGCCCCAAGAAATCATTCCTTCATGGATTGCTTTTATCAGAGATTTTATTACAACAGAAAAGTAAGTAAGATAAGACTGAAATGGGGTTAGAAAACTCATTGGAAGGCTACAAAGTGTCTTAAAACCATCTCCCGAATTTGGTCATTTTTCAGTAACCCAAATTGTAGCCAATATGGAAATGTCAGCACATAATGAGATGTTACAGAGCCTAGACAATAAATATGAGAGTGCTCAGACTGTCTAATCTTACAGGTCAAGAAAGTGGAGTTCTCAACTGGCTGATGATGTAGACAATGACATCATCAGTGTGTCAGCGAACAACTTCTTCCCCAAAAGGAAATGAATAAGAATATAAGAAAAGAAAATTTTAGTATCAGCACGAGTTTGAAAACTACCTTGCATTTCTAGAGCATAGCACAGTTAACACCATGCTTCCAGGTAGAGTAGCTCATTGGGTTCTCTTTGAGACTCAGAGTTTCATGTAGCTGTCATGATATCACATGGCAAAGTAGGAATTCAAAGCCATGTCTGCAGGCCATCTTCCTTACTCCCTTCTAGTGACCATTACTGACTGTGGTGGAAAACTGAGCTCTAACTCAGCACACAGGAGCCCAGGGAAGGGAGATTTTACAGTTATATTGATTATATATGACTTGCCAAAGAGAAGGTTAATGAAAAGAAAGCGCCAAGCTCCCAAGTCAAACAGTATTACACTGCCCCCCTGTGTCCATCATTTTTTGTGAACTGACAATCAGAGGCTGGTCTTCATCTACTGGGAGCAAAGTCATTGACTCTCTCTAGTCACTACAGTAAGCTACAAGCAGACCTGAGCATCACTAATGTATCCCTAACCTGATGCTCAAATGGCCTTTGACTGTGCGTCTAAAGACGCTGTGAAAACTATCACACAAGAATGCACCGTCTACAGCAGAACAAAGAGGTCATGGGTCAGCTAGTCAAAGAACTGGTTTCTGAGAACTCAAAAATGGTCCATATGACCCTACAGGAGACTCTAAGCAAATTTCTTTTACCCAGTTAGCACCAAGGACCACTGCTGCTGCCATATGCCATGTTGAAGCAATTAACTGATTAATAGGCACAGTACCTGACACAGAGTGAAACTGTTATTTTCAGTCCTTCAAACTGAGTGCCACTGAAATCACAGTCCGAAATCTGAGGGCTGTGGACAGAAAGCGAGCAAGCACAACAAGGCGCCCAGTTTGCCTGTGGTTAACTTGTGAGTTATAAACGGTATGTCTGCTGTCAGCTCGAATATTCCCCAGTCTTCATCTCTTCATTGTCAGGCCCTCTTCTCATCACCTCACACACAGATATGTGGTCACATGACAGACCTGTGAATCCTAGCACTCAGCAGGGTAAGACAGGAGGGTCATGGGTTCAAAGCCAGCAGGGGCTTGACTTAAAAAAAAAAAAAAAAGGAATAGTTTTTAACACATAAAATTCTAAGAAGTAGGCCGGGCGGTGGTGGCGCACGCCTTTAATCCCGGCACTCGGGAAGCAGTGCCAGGCGGATCTCTGTGAGTTTGAGGCCAGCCTGGGCTACCAAGTGAGTCCCAGGAAAGGCGCAAACTACACAGAGAAACCCTGTCTCAAAAAACCAAAAAAAAAAAAAAACTAAGAAGTAAGTTATAAAATGTTTTCATTCAATATATTTACACACAATATCTTATGTATAGGATAGACAATTGTATATAGGTGTGGTGTGTGTCACTTTGGAGTTAGGTATATATGCCAATACATAATATACTAAGTGCATTTTTTAAAAGTCTAAAAAAAAAACAAACAGCAAATTGCCAATAAAGTATCTGTGAGGCATCGTTAATGAATGGGTTCTTTTTACTTTTAATCTATATAATCATGTGTTAATTGAAATTTCTACATTGGGTGGTTTTACATTGGGTGGTTTTTTTTTTTTTAATTAGTACAGTTCACAGGGTTATATGCTTGAACATAAAATTGGGTCAAACAAGAAAAAAAACTTATGGAAAAAAACTCAATGGCCTGGTTTTAGCCTGTCCTTTTTTTTTTTTTTTTTTAAAAAAAAAAAAAAAAAAGCCATTCAGTGAGAATTTCTGAATAGCAGGTAGGAGGCATTGCTCTGTATTGTTTACTAAAACAAGTAATTGTTGAATGGATAGACTCATACTATAATATTCAAGTTTCTATCCCTAGATTCACATCATAATCTGTAGATTAACACTGTGGTATCTGAGTGTCTTGTTTATCCTTAGGTTGACACCATAACATTCAGATGTTTATCCTTAGATTTACACAGTACCACTTGAGTGTCCATCTATAAATTCACACCACAAATTCGAGAATTTATCTCTGGATTCACACTGTAGTATCTGAATGACTATACCTAGATTCAGATTACATCTGTGCCCACATTCAGAGCACTTCTCCCTACATACACGCCATAATAGTTGAGCACCTATAGATGCTCAGACCAAAATATTGGAGTACCTATCACTAGTTCACACCATAATAATTGTCTATCACTACATTCATACTGCAATAATTTGAAGGTTTATCCCTATATTCTTTTTTTTTTTTCAGAGCTGAGGACCGAACCCAGAGCCTTGTGCTTGTTAGTATCTCTATATTCTTAGAGTATAGTGTTCTTATCTGTTTCCAAGGCTACCTATGCTAAAGAACCAAGGAGCATGTGCCTAGCTCTACACCCTTTCTTGGGCCCCTTACCTGCCACAGGGATCCAATTACAGGTAGATCCACAACCTTCATAAAAAGCCCCTACTCAACCTTCCGCCCCCTTTTAGCTGAGACATCTTCTATACAGGTCACTGCTCTTTTCTCAGTAACTCTCAAGGAAAAAAAGAAAGCTCCCTTGAGAAAATATCAATAAAACAATGACCAGAAGGAAAAAACAAATAATAATATGGGAAAAATTGAAACCTTTAAGAAGGAAACTTTAAATTTAGAATTACACATCAGATCTAAAAAAAAAAATAAGGGGTCATAAAAATATGGTAAAACATATCTAAACTAATGTACAATTCAAAAGTAATAAATTCAAATGATAATGTTCAGTTTAGTTAAGATATGAGGAGTGCAGGCATGCTCTACTGAGAACCAGTTTGTCCCAGGCTCACAAGGCACAGTTCAGTCTGGGAATTCTACTCTGTAAATATATTAAGGGAGGAAAGAAAAAGAATTTTCATGGTTATGGGAAAGACAAAGAAAACATAAATGACAATTTAAGGATAATAATACGATGAAAATAGATAGCTATTGAAAATGACAAATATATTAACTCTGGTAACAAGGTAAAGGAAACAAAAACCCAAAATACTATATAATTGCATTGTTCATAGTTTGTGAGGATACACAAGTAGTCAGTGATGGGAGTGCCTGCTTGTAATCCCAGTGACTCAGGAGACTCAGGCAGGAAAAGTTATGAGCTCAAGGTCAGCCGAAGTGATTCAATGAGACTTGGCCTCAAAATTAAAACCATTTTTTAAAAGACTAGGGATGTAGCTCCGT